CTATAGGACAGAGTAGAACTGCCCCGTAGGGTTTCCAAGGAGCGGCTGGTGGATTTGAACTGCAGACATTTTGGTTAGTGGCCAAGTTCTTAAGTCCTGTGCCACCAGGGGTTCGTATTTACAACACATATTTTTGAGGGACACAGTTCAATCTCTAACAGTTTCCTTCTGTAGTGAAGCTCCAAGGACAGTCTATTAGAAGGACCTTCTGCTACTGTGACCTTGTCTCTCATTCTCCCATTCTCTTTAAACAGGTCCCACTGGAAGAAGGTTTAAATAAAGCGATTCACTACTTCCGCAAAGAACTTGAGTACCAGGCAAATAATCAGTACATCCCCAAACCCAAACCTGCAAGAATAAAAAAAGGAAGGACACGCCATACCTGAACACCTCAGTTCCTGGGACAGGAGACTCCCTGATTACACTTGATGGGATGTATTTTTGTTTGTTTTCCTTTTTATTTTTTTTGAAGAAAGACTTAAACAGGTGTCATGAAGAACAAACTGGAATTTCATTCTGAAGCTTGCTTTAAAGAAATGGATGTGCCTAAAAACTCCCCTCAAAAAACTGCAGATTTTGCCTTGCACTTTTTAAAATCTCTCTTTTTATGTAAAATAGGGTAGATGCATCTTTGCGTATTTTCAAGTTTTTTATCTTGCTGTGAGAGCATATGTTGTGACTGTCGCTGACAGTTTTATTTACTGGTTTCTTTGTGAAGCTGAAAAAGAACATTAAATGGGATGAAAAATGCCAATTTATTTATAAAAGTGGGTACTTATAAATGAGACATTATACTATGCATAAAGACAAGAAAAGCTTGCAGTGTGGTCAGGTGGGTAGCGCCGGCATTTACCGTTCAAGCTGACAAAAGAATTCTGTTTGAAAGCTTTATGTTTCTTTCAATTCAGAATGTTTCCAAGGTCTAGTTTTTAGTTGCACACTTGACTTTGAAATAGTTCTGTTGGTTATCACAGTTAAGGACATTTGGAATCACTACTGTGTCGTGCTGTGTGTTTTGGGGGAAAAATAAACATATTCTTGGTTAACAGTGGTTGAATATGCTATTTTAATAAAATATTGAAACTTACTGGTTATGGACGATTAGTTTTTAAAGGCTGGTTTTCTGCTTTGCTTGGTGCATTGTTGGGTTGCTGAGAAAAATACTGGAGAATTTAGTTTAAAAGAAAGTTCTGGAAGCATCCAAAACAAAAAAAGGAAACCCTGCTGCCCTCAAGTCAATTCTAACTCATAGCAACCCTATAGGACAGAGTAGAACCGCCCTCTAGAGTTTCCAAGGAGCAGCTGGTAGATTGGAACTGCCAAACTTTTGGTTAGCAGCTGAGCTCTTAACCACTGTGCCACGAAAGCATTCAGCTTTATAAAATAGGCAATTTGATGTGTGGCACTTTAAAGCTTTTACGTGTGACTCTGGCCAGATCTGTGCATATAATATTCACTGCTGTGTGGAGGAGTTTTCAGATCTTCAGGGTTAGAAACATGTCGGGTCCTTCCCTGGCAGCAAAGACCAGATGGCGAACAGGAAGTGTCATTTGCCTTAT